TAATGTCCGGATAGTTATCAAGCATTTCTTAAGAAAAAACTTTATACTTTATCTGTTATTTTCAGTAATTAATCTCTGTACAGGTTTGGTAAACTTGACCGATCTCACAACCACCATAAAAAATTAGGAAATAAACATAAATTATGCCACTTTCATTCTAGAATGAACACAAATTATAACACGAAAACATAAATGTTTAGACAAAATAGATTAAATTTCATAACATTATACATTTATATATATATATTTATTATTTTTTATTATATTGACCTTTCACCTGTACCTGGCTAACAATACAGAAGTTACAATGACGTGGCTCACATGCACTCATATTTCTATATGAAATAACATAAAGGTGACCTTTGGCTTGTACAAAATAACTTGTCTTGGCTGTGTTTTAGTTCACTAGTATTTTATAAAATACAGTCACATTTCAATCATAATACATTATACATGTATATAGATTAATGCTATTTTAAAACAAGTTCTTAAATTTACTTTTCTTAAAAAACAGAACAGTAAATAAAGAAGTAAAGCAAACATTTATCTCTTCTAGTTACAACCTTTGCACTTGGTTGCTGCTTGATGTAGGTTGCTAAGCTTTTAAAAAATTTTAACAGCGAGGATATGAAACAAAATTTTTTTTAGGTTTTATATATACTTTGAATAACTAAAAAATCATAAAGTACTACATCAATACCATTGAATTCTACTATAATGTATCAAACTTAGTAACTAAGCTGTATTTGGGTCTAAAAAAACATGAAATTCCGAGCAGACTAAAAACACAACCTACCTCATTGAAATCTTGGTTTAAAAAAAGAAATGGTGCTAGGTACATTAGAAAGGTTGAGAAAACCCCTAGGGGACATTCTGAGCTTCCAATTGGTTATTCATGTCATATATACAAGTAAGTGTATATGAGGGAGAGTTTCAAAAAATGGAAGGAGGTGAGTGGGTTGCCACTATGTTTGATTTATTATGTGAGCAATATCTTAGCAAATTGAAAAGATAAGACCTTCTTATTTTATATTCTAGCTTGTCAATATCTGTAATTTGAGTTTCTATGTTGTAAGACTCTACAGACTTAGTATATTGACTTTACAAACTTCTAATTTGAACCAGTGCTGCAATGAACATACCACTTGACACACAAAAATCGATGTTTATTTGTGTTTTTTAATATTTACCTTTAAATTAAGAAATTGAGTAATGTATAGTTCTAAAATTAGAATTATAATCTACAGTTTGATACCAAACTTACTGACATAAATTCATGAAATAGTAGTTCAATAAAATTTTGAATGCGAGTCAACAAACGAGATGACATGACCTTTCACCTGTGACCCATCACGAAAGGGGTTAATCTGTGACCATATTAAATACTTGTCCCTGTGAAATTGGAAGCAAATCTTTTGCTACACTCAGATTTTGTTGAAGTGGAGATTTTTAAACAGAAACTTGGACACAATTTCACCAATCTGCATTCCTCATTGTATGGCATAAATGACCGAAAATCTGATCGATTGTGTGTTACATCCATATTAAAACTGGACCAATATATCATCACAGGCTGTTAATCCTTTAGACACTCTCCAAGCCTCTACCAGTAATGCAAGCAGTTTTTCATCCTTGTCAGCTGTCCTGTTTTGACATTGCCATGGTTCTGGAGTAAAGGCATGTGATATATCTGGCCAATGGATACCTAAGTGAGGATTTTTCCAGTATCTTATCAGCAAGCTTCACCATAAAATCACGGCATTTGTTTCCTGGTTCCATGACTTTAATATCACTAATGGCCTTTGGAGTTGATGAAAGGATTTTAATGAGCTATTGCTCTGCTGCAAATCCAAGATCAATTTTCATGTATGAACCATAGCTCTCTTTGATCTGTAAATCAAGTCTATAGAGCTTTACAATAGTAATATTATCCAACACTTCCAGTTTCATGAAATGTTTCAGTATGTTCACCACCATGATGAAAATACCTTTACAACAAATGGCATTATAGGCCTATCCATATAATAAATTGACAAAAATGGTTTAGTGATGGATGTGAGTGACAATTTTGGAATGATTAATTTATCTTTGATACATGAAGCAACAATATCATACAAGTCAGTCTTAGGACTTGTCAATTTTTTTTGTGTCACTTATGTAACTTATTGGACAATGTTTGCCCATATTTTAGAGCACGCTCTGCCCCAGGGACATTTCTCAGCCACCTATGGGAACAAAACTTAAGAGGAAAAACATCTGATCCAGTGACTGATGTATAGTCCTCTCATCTTGACGGTGAATCCGTGAACCTTTAGAGACTCAACAGAAGTTTCTGATCAGGCTACGTTGAAGCAGCAGTGCCATCCTTGGAAGTACCTTGAAGTACATGTATATCACACAACTGCCAACATCTAAAAGATCTACAATGTACATGTAGTCAGTTGACCCAAGTGTATATAATCATTAGAAAGAGCTCAGTTTACACTATACTTTACCAAATCCATGCATGGACATCCAGCTGTTCTTTTCTGTTCCTGTAATCTAGGCTTTCATCAAAGACCAAAATATATCCATTTTGGTCCCTGATTTTCTTACTGAGAATAGATTTCTGATATGGTGCTATTACAAAATTACACAAGTAAGCACGTTTTCTCTTGCCACATGAAAACTGTTTTGCAATTGTTGAGTCTAAGAACATTTCAGCAACAAGTGGACTGACAACCGAACACAAGTTGAAGGAGAAGTGTGATTTATCAACTTTCATTGTCCACAGAATTTCAGATTTTAAACAATCTGACCTTGACAAATAGTGTCAGTGATTCTTGTGAGGTACATGTAATCGTGGATGTGTCAACTGTAGGTGGACAAGTTAGTTTGAATAGCACTTTTATTAAAAAAAAAAATTCTACTTCGTACCAGCAGCATGGCTTTTTAAAGCTCCTTCTCCCATGTTCAAGATATCAAATGCCTTCACGCACAAAGTGCATATTGCATTGTATTTATCAATTTCTTGGTTCAACCATATATAGCATTCAAGCTTCTTGGGCCACGTTACATTAAATATGCATTTGTCTCTTGGCATTGTCATCCAATGTCAGGTGATATGTAGGTCTACTATTCTGCTTGCCAGCTCATCAATTCATGTTGCGTACATTAATGTGCTGTGTGTGTGTGTGTGTGTGTGTGTGTGTGTGTGTGTGTGTGTGTGTGTGTGTGTGTGTGTAGTATATATAGTAGTAGTAGAGTACGTACGTAGTACGAGACTAATAAACTAAAGTTAGTTAAGTTTGGTTGGTGTGTACGTTAGTTTCGTT